CCTTGATTGATATCCAAAATACTGAAGCTCCCTAATTGCATTGTGAGCTCCCTGGAAGGAACATCGTCCATAGCCAAGAGTGATCAGCTCCTATTGTCTAGCCTAAAGAAAACCCTTGAGTCATCAGTTTACCCATAAACAAATCTAGTGTTCTCCCTTCCACCATTGTTGTTTCCCTACCAAAAACCCCGACCCACGCTCAAGTAAGTGTTCTGCTGCATGGATCCAAACTCTGCATCAGTTCCACTGGGATTTCATCTTCTCCTGACTGATCGTGCTGGGGGCTCTGCCTGTCTCCAGCACTCAGGACCCTAAGCTACCACCATCCCCTGGGAACCCCGACCAGTTCAAGCTTCATGGAATGGTGAGATCCCAGCGCTCTCTCTCTCTCTCTATTTTCTTTTCTATCTCAGGCAGGTAGAGTTTTCTATATATGACTTTTGTAACCTTTAATAATGTAACTGTTATGTTGGTTTAGGCTCCTTGTGTGGTTATCACTATTATTCAATAAATAACTTCTATGGTTAAGCTGGTTACTTCCCTCTCTCTCTCTCTCTCTCTCTCTCTGAACTTTACTCTTTTGTGTTTTTAGCTTCCCCATTTACTCTGCAGCAACGCTCCTCTTACCTAAGCGAAAGATCCCTGTAGCACCCAAAAATACTGTGGGGTTTGCTCATCACGTGGGTTACTGCCAGGACAATTGTGATGTGAAAGTGGGGATAGGGACATGCTGAACCTGGGACATAGGAGGATGGCAACTTGGAAGTGTTGCTTGACCCAGTCCACTTAGACTTGCTCTGTTAGAGTGTGTGTGTGTGTGTGTGGTTCTGGGGCTGGAGGAACCTAGCCCAGGGGAACCAAGGTCCTGCAGGGTGGCTCCATTGGGAGGGGACTTTCAGAACGGAGAAGTAGAGCTCCGTATGAGAACACAAATGACACAAGCAGCACATTGCTAGAAGTACAGAACACTCCTCCTCCCCAGAAGAGTAACCCTAATAAATGAGCGTACCCCAAAGTAACAGGCAAATCTGGTAACACCCCAGCCGTCCGGACCCTGCTCCGGGGAGATGTCCTGAGCAGAGCGGCAAGAGAGAGGGACCCCGACGCCATCGCCCCTCCTCCGGCTGAACCCCCAACCCAGGAGGAGATGGGGTCGGTGTGACGTTGCACTCCATATTTTTATAAAAATATTTGTATGTGTGCGGATATGATGTAACTGGAATATGCTTTATGCAAAAGGTTTCTTGATCTAATTCTTTAATTTTTCTATGATATTTATGATCATTACAAAGCTTTTGGGGATTGGTCCTCCTCTGAGTAGGGGGTTGGACTAGATGACTTTCTGAAGTCCCTTCCAACCCTGATATTCTATGATTCTATGATTACAAAGTTTGTAATCTACTGAGTGTAGTCATCCTATTTGTATGAATGTATCATTCTTGTAACTGAAACTAGAAATATGAAATATCACTCTGAGGTCCTATTTTAATTATGCAAAGTGTGGGCCATTAATGGTGGTTTGGAATGTTGATGGCTCCCATTAACCAGGACATTTGGTTGTAAATGGCTCTGTTTGCTTGTAAAACTTCCTGTATACCTGTGTGCCAGCAAGTGGGTAATGAAGTCTCACAGGACATGTGATCATGTCACCTGAACTGGAATCCATCTTTAACCTGGTGCTTCTCCATTTAGAAGGAGGGGTGGGAACCCAGAGAGAGACAAGGGATTCCTGCCTTCTACCAAAGCTATTAAACGGGGTGGAAGAGAACAAAAGGGGTCCCAGTCATGTTGAATCCCCTGCTTTTCACCTAAGATATCTGCTGGAACTAACAAGGATTGTACCAGGGGAAAGGATTGGGCCCAGATTAGGAAGGAGTCTAGTCTGTGAAAGTAGCTTATTGGAACATCTCTGAGGGTGAGATTTACCTGTATTCAGTTTCTTAAATGTATTAGGCTTAGACTTGCGTGTTTTCTTTTATTTTGCTTGGTAGCTTACTTTGTTCTGTCTGTTATTACTTGAAACCACTTAAATCCTACTTTTTATACTTAATAAAATCACTTTTGTTTATTAATTGCCCAGAGTAAGTGATCAATACCTGGGGGAGCAAACAGCTGTGCATATCTCTCTATCAGTGTTATAGACGGCAAACAATTTATGAGTTTACCCTGTATAAGCTTTATACAGAGTAAAACGGGTTTATTTGGGGTCTGGATCCCATTGGGAGCCGGGTGTCTGGGTGCTGGAGACAGAAGCACCTGCTGAGTGGTTTTCAGTTAAAGCCTGCAGCTTTGGGGGCGTGGCCCAGACCCTGGGTCTGTGTTGCAGGAGACGTAGCGTGTCTGGCTCAACAAGGCAGCGTTCTGAAGTCCCAAGCTGGCAGGGAAAACGGGCTCAGAGGTACTTTCAGCACATCAGGTGACAGTTCCAAGGGGGTCTCTGTGTCCGAACCCATCACAGTCGGACTTTAACAGCAGCTGTGGCGATTCCAGCTCAGTTCCACTGGCTCCTCTGCCCGCCCCGGACAGTCGCTAGTGTCTCCAGGGCCAGGAAGGAGATGCCCAAACCCAGGGGGATATTCCAGCGAGAGACTCACACCAGTGAACAGGGCCGGGGCTGGAACAATATTTCAGATGGCACCTGCCACGGCTCCCCTGGTTCCTGCTCTGCTGGGTCTGTAGCAACTGGTCCCAGGGGTCAATGGGTGGTTTGCCGTGGGGCTGAGCAGGCTGCGGGCTCTGAACCCTGCCCCCGGCCTGTGTTTAACCCTGTTCAGTGTGGGGCAGGGGCTGGGGCGTGTTCACACCTCGGGCCCTTTATTGCATCTCCATGAACAAAACAGGGCACACTGGGGGCTCCCATAGTGAGTGTTTGGGGGGGCCAGCTGAGGGGAGCCGGGAGTTTGAGGGAAGTAGGTTGGGGGTATTGGGAGGGGGGCTGAGGGGACAGGGGCTGGATGGGGGACAGGCATTTGAGTGCAGACAGGGTCCCCCCAGAAGGTCAGAGCCGGGAGGCACGATTGTTTGGGGGTGTGAGGGGGGAGGGGCTGATGGTGCCCCCCAGGAGGGAGCTGCCATTGCTACCCCTCTCACTGCCCCCTCCTGCTCCTACCCCCTCAGTCCTGGGTCCCCCACTTTCTTTCCCCTCAGTCTCCTGCCCCCACATACCCTCCTGCCCCACATTCCGTGCCCCATAATGACCCCCCCATGCCTCACCTTCCCCTCCCCTCTTCCTCCTCTCTGACCCTTTAGATACTCCTGCGCACCAACATTCCCAGCCCCCCAATACCCTTTCCTGACCCCCCTTCTCTGCTCCCCACACTTGTGGGAGGGGCGTGGGGGGAGGAAACGACCCCCCATGGCCACAGGGTGGGATCAAGAGATGGGAGTCGGCGGGACACAGGCTGGGGGTCAGGCTAGGGTCAGAGATGCCGGGGGGCTCATTTCCATGCAGCCATCGCCCCACCGCAACAGTCGGGGGGGGGGCAGGATTGTTCCCGTCCCCAGGCTGAGGCATCAGCCATCTTAGCCAGGGGTCAGCGAGGGCTGCAGGGGGCAACAGGGTGGCCACGTTAACTGAGGACAGCCAGGGGTCCCTTCCCTACAATGGGGAGGTCGGGGGCGTGAGGGGATAGGGGGTGGGGGGAGAACAGGGGACGGAACATGGGGCATGAAGGCACAACGGGGGGTGAAGGGACATGGGACGGGGCAGCACTAGGAGTGTGGGGACCTGAGGGGGGGGGACGTGAGGCAATTACAGGCTGAGGGGACAGAACAGGGGGGACAGCCAGGGACATGAGGGGACACGGGATGGGGTGGTGTTGGGGGGATGTGATTGGGGGAAGGGACGCAGGCCAGGGGGCAGAACAGGGGGCTGAGGGGGCCAATGGCTGAACGTTGGGGGTGGGGGGTGAAGGGCAAATCAGTTGGGGAGCCAGAGCTGGGGTATCTACCAGGGGGCCCAGTTTCTCTAGCGCTCTGTCCCCGTGATCTTGTCCCCTCCCCTTTCTAGGCTCCCCCCTCCCCCCATGTCCCTTTCTCAGCATCCTGGCTCAGCCCCCCTGGGCCGTGAGCTGCGCAGACCCACTGCCCCGGGGATGGGCTGGGGAAGGGACACGGGGCCTTTCACCTCCACGGGGGCGGGGCTGGCTCTAATCTGTGTCCTTTTCTCTATCCACTACAGCCCACTTCCCCAACCAGAGCCAGGGAGAGAACCCAGGAGTCCTGGCTCCCAGCCATCCATGCCCCCCAATCATTGCCCCCTCACCCCCACCAGAGCCAGGGTATATAACAGGGTAGGTGGTGGGGCATCAGGTTTACGCAGAGTTTCACTGGCAGTAGCAGAAACAGGAAGCGAGCGCCGGCTCTGGGCAGACTCCCCCTTTCACAGATTTATCTGCTGCTCCTTTAACAACTCAGGATCTAATTTACCCCTTCCTCTCCTGCTCATGGGAACCAGAAACCACAACCCCTGCCATCCTGTCTCTGTGCCATATCACTCAGCTAAGAACAGTGTCTGCAGCGACGGTACCTGAGAAGGAGGTTGGCCAGGTCCCTCCACCCTCATGCTCCAGGGCGGGTGCTGGGCCCAACCAGGTCAGGAAGGAACCTCTGCCCCACTACATGGGAGAGGGTCACTCCATGGGGGGCACTGTCTGTGTGGGGTGGGAGCCCTCCTCTGCTCTGAGTTGCTGCTACAGGGAGTCTAGATGGGACCATTGGAAAAGGTCAGGGAAGCCTGGGCACCTCTTGATGCCTCCTGAGATTCACACATTCTCAGCTGGTCCCTGGACTGGGCAGCTCCCATGTGGGGCTGGGAGGTGATGGGGCGGGGAACCAGGCAGCTGCAGGAGGGGATGTGGTTTGCTGGGCGTGGCAGGGAGTTGGCTTTGCTCTGACCGTGGTAGATCTAGGCTGGAGATTGCAGAGAAAATCAGCTGATGGGGTGGAAAGGGGCCGAGCGCATCACAGGCTTCCTGGGGCTGCAGCCCCCAGCGCAGTTCCTCATTCCACTCGCACTCGGGCCTCAGGCTGGGTGGAGCTCAGCACCGGGGTGTTGGTGGCAGCACTGAGGGGCCCCCACTGCCCCGTCATGGTGTCTGCTCTCACCGTCCTCCTCCTCGGTGAGTATCGGAGACAGCCAGGGCTTGTGCCCATGGGGGGCGGGGATCTGAGAGCAGGGTGTAGGATCCAGTCACTCTGGGATTTGATCTCTAATGAGCCGTCTCCTTTCCAGGCTGCTGGCTGGTCGGGCAGAGCAGGGTGTCAGGAGGTGAGTATCTGTGGGGAATGGGGCAACTGGGGGAATTTCCGCATTAAGGACGAGCGATGTGCGTTGGGGGTGGGGGGCACAGATCCCCCAAAGGGATGATCCTGTCAGACACGTGCTCCAGAGGTGGAGCCTGGGACCTCGCCCCACTCATTACAGGGATGGGAACCTGTTAGAACAACTGGGGGATTTTGTAAACATGTTTTCTTGGGGGCCCTGTCCTGGGAGCCGCTTGCTCAAATGACCCAAATTTGGACCAGGAACCCCACAGCTTAGATCCCAATTCACTGCCTGACTGTGATTGGGGCAGGGCCGGGTTCTGAGCTCAGCCCCTGGGGTCAATCCGGAGTTGCCCCTGAGTGCAGCGGGGGCAGGGCTGAATTGACCCTGCATAACTAAAGGAATCAGAGACTGGAAATCTCCTTTCCCCCGTCCTGTGTCTCTTCCCGGCTGTGAGCCGCGGGGCCGGGCCTGTACCCCAGGGAGGGGCGGGGGGTAAAACGCTGGAGCGACAGATGGGCAGAGGATTAAATCAGACGGACGCGGTTTGTGTCACCCCCACTTACTGCCTGTTTGTTTGTGAATCCAGAGGGGTCCCTCCCCAAACCCTCCATCTCCGTCAGCCCCGGTGGGGTGATCCCCGTGGGGGGAAACGTCACCATCAGGTGTCGGCATCAGCACCTGGGCATGAGGTTCCAACTCTACAAGGCTGGCGTTGGGAACTATCTGACTTACACAGACCCTGCTGGCTCTGAGGCTGAATTTCCCATCACCAGCGCCAGACGGGAACACGATGGCAGCAACACCTGTCATTATACCTACAGAGCAGGACGAGCTGCTTACTCGGAGCCCAGCGACCCTGTGCAGATCATTGTAGCAGGTGAGGGGCCCAGCCAGCACCTTGGCTCCCATCCTCACACCCAGACGGATCCCAGCAGATGGGACGTCCAGCCCAAGCACTGGGTGGAGGGGGGATATCTCAGCCCCGTGGTGCTTTGGTGCCCTGGATCCCAGGGGAGACCCTGACCCTGTCTCTGCCCCGTCGCTGATGCTCCATGCTGGGGACGGGACACAGTGACTGTGCCGGGGTCTATCTCATGCCCCATCTCCTCCCACTGCAGAGCTCAGCTCCCCCAAACCCTCCATCTCCCTCAGCCCCAGCGGGGGGTGTCACCCTGGGGGGAGCTGTGACTTTCTAGTGTCGGGGTCAGCACCGGGGTCTGGAGTTTGTTCTGTACAAGGCTGGGGCCAGGAATGCAGCAGCGCCGGGCAGGGACTCGGCTGGGGTCAAATTTCCCATCCCCAAAGCGAGCCGGGCAGACAGAGGCAGCAACACCTGCTATCATCCCCTCGACTTGGATCCAGACCAGGCTCGGGGTCCCAGCTCTCAGCTCCACACCTAGACAGACACTTGGCCCAGCAGAGGGGACACGCGGCCGGAGAACGGAGATGGAGTCACTGGGGGGTTCCCCAGCCAGGGGGGAGCAGCAGCCCCTGGAGACTTGGGGCAGGGAGGCTACTTTAACGCTGCCCCTTGTGCTTAGGAACCGTGAGTCGCTATTTAATCCCGTGATCCCATCCCCTCTGGGCCCCCAGGGGCTGGGGTTGCTCCGTGTCTCATGCTGTTAGCCCAGGGCTCAGAGGAAACTCTGGCCCCTGTGGAAAGGCATCCAGGAACCTGTCCCTAGGGCTGCCGGGTCTGACCGACCACTGAGGCCGCGTGGTGAGGACGGGCCCCAGGACTGAGTGACGGGGCCTGCGTCTCACGGCCTGTCTGCTTCCCACTGCAGAATCCAGCTACCCCAAACCCAGCATCTCCCTGAGCCCCAGCAGGAGGGTCTCCCTGGGGGGAGCCGTGACTGTCCGGTGTCGGGGGCAGCGCCTGGGTGTGCGGATCGTGCTGAATAAAGAGGGACGCCATTTCCCACCTGTGGATTCGGACGGGTTTGAGGCTGTGTTTCCCATCAACAACGTGCGCCGGGAGGACGGCGGGAGCTACAGCTGCTCCTATCACAGCCGATCGGAGCTGTTTGTCGTGTCGTACCCCACCGACCTGTGGAGCTGGTGGTGAGAGGTGAGGGGCCCGGCTGCGCGTCCCCGTTCACAACCCGACCCCCAGCCAGACCCTCCCGGGGGCTCGGTGCCAATGGGACGCTCAGAGCCAGGCTCTGCCCTGAGCCCTGACCCTGCAGTGGAGACGCCCGGCTGGGGAGCGGGGACGGAGTCACTGGGGGGTTCCCCAGCCAGGGGGGAGCAGCAGCCCCTGGAGATTCGGGGCAGGGAGGCTATTTTAATGCTGCCCCTTGTGCGTAAGAACCGTGAGTCGCTATTTAATCCCGTGATCCCATCCCCTCTGTTCGCCAGGCCCTGCCCCAGGCAGTGCCCCGGCCCGGGCTGAATGAGGCAGGGGCTGCAGGAGAAGCAGTGGCTTGGTGGACACGGCGCTGGGCTGGGACCCAGGAGATCTGGCCCAGCTCCTGGTGTGGCCACAGACTCTGTGTGATGGGAGCATGTTGCTGTTTTCAAAAGTGTCCTTTCTTGTGGGGGGGCCTCAAGCTTTGGGGATCTCAGGCCTAGCGCCCACAAACCGAGATGCCCACAGTTAGGGGAGACCTCTGCAAACGCTGGCCTCAATAGCGCTGGATCCCTTGTGTTGGGGGAGGATGTAGGGCCCCCGCCATGATCAAGGCCCCGTTGTGCCAGGTGCTGCATAAACACAGAATGAAGAGACAATCCCTGCCCCTGGGAGCTCACTGAGGAAAGTGAATCTGTTTGTGCCTCAGTTTCCCCCATGTAGAATGGGGATAATGACCCCTCCCTGCCTCCCTGGAGGAGACTCCCTTCCTGTGGGGGGCTCAGGCCCTGCTAGGGTGGTCAACTTTCCAATTTGTGAAAACCAGACACTGAGTGTGGGAACCTCTCCCCCCTCCCGCTCTGCTTCTTCCGCAAGGCCCCGCCCCCTGGTCCTCTTCCCTCCCCACCTCCACAATCACTCGCTGCTCTCTCCACCACCCTCCCCCTGCCAGGTGATCCATGCTCCAGGATTGAGGGTGGGGGAGGGGGAGCCAGGCTCCGTGGGTGGGTGTGAGTGGGCAATACCCGGCCGCAGTCCGGGGCTTCAGCAGCACTTCGCGGCGGGGGGGGTCCACTCCAGGTCTTCCGCTGCACCGAAGGACACCGCCCCCCCCCGCCACCGAAATGCCACCGAAGACCTCCAGAGCGGGGCCTGCTTAGGCGCGGGACCCGATTCCGGGGAATCAGGTGAATCAGCTTAAAGCCGGCCCTGTGAGTGGGGCAGGGCAGGGGAGGGAGAGCTGAGCTCTGGGGGTGGGGGTGTCATGGAGTGTGGGGGAGCTCAGGGCCCTGCACCCCCGGCCTCCTGCGATTCACCATGACTCTCAGCCAGCCAGTAAAGCAGAAGGTTTATTTGGATGACAGGAATACAGTCCAAGACAGGTCTTGCAGGCACAGACAACAGGGACCCCCTCAGTTAGGTCCATCTTGGGGTCCCAGGGCATCCCAGCCCACCCCCCTTTGGGGGGTCAGAGCCATCTCTGCCTCCCCACCATCTCACCACCCAGCTTCCAACACTCTGCCTTCAGCGACCCCTCCCACAGCCTTTGTTCAGTTTCCCGGGCCAAGGTGTTACCCGGCCTCCAACCCCTTCCTGGATTCTCATGTTACACGCTCAGGTATTCGCCTTCGGGCAGACTCCCATCCCCCAATGCAGACTATCCTAGCCACACTCCCCTGTCAGCATTCACAGACCACAGTAAGAACAGTCCCAGTTCGTCACAGGGGGTGGCGGTGACTGGGGCAGGGAAGGGGAGAGAGAGCTGCGCTCCTGGGGTGGGGGTGGGGGTGAGTGGGGCAGGGGAGAGGGGAGCCGGGCTCCGGGGGTGGGGGTGGGGGTGAGTGGGGCAGGGGAGGCGACCTGCATTCTGGAGGTGGGGGTGGAGCAGGGAGTGGGGAGGGGGAAGGGGGGGAGCGGTTGGGGGTGAGTGGGGCAGGGCGACGGGAAGGTGGGAGATGGGGAGCCACGCTGTGGGGGTGGGGTGAGGGGGCAGGGCCCCTGCTGAGTAGCTCCACTGCTCCTCTAGGCTCCAGCAGCAGCTGCTCTTTCCCGCCCCCTGGTGGCAGAGGCTGGGTACTGCAGGGAATGAGACCGTGTCCGATCAGCGGCACTGCCAGGTTCCCTTTTCAACCCACTTTCCGGCTGAAAACTGGACACCGGCAACCCTGGGCCCTGCGGTGCCGGGCGCCAGAGACCAGCCCATGAGTCGCTCTGTCCAGGGCAGGCCGGACGCAGTGAACGAGGCAGGGGCCACACACGGCATATGAGGATCCCGAGCACTAGGGAGCCGCGGCTCGGAGTCTGTGGGGCTGGGACCCCAGCTCGCAGGGCAGTATTCTGGGTGGGGGGAGCTCTGGGATGTGGGAGAGAATCTCTGCCCGGCGGCCCCTGGATCTGCCTGTGGATAGGGCCAACCAGGGAGTCCAGGGCTGGGTCTGGCTCTCACAGCCTGTCTCCTGTGCGCAGATCCCAGCTTACCCAGACCCTCCATCTCACTGAGCCCCACTGGGGTCATCGCCCCAGGGGCAGACGTCACCATCCGGTGTCAGGGGCAGCACCGGTACGTGAGGTTCTTCCTGCACAAGGCTGGAGACCTGAACCCGCAGCGACACATGGACCCTGCTGGGGACGGGGCCGAGTTCCGCATCCCCACCGTGGGCCGGCAGCACGGAGGGAGCTACAGCTGCAGCTACCGGCTCCGATCAGAGCCCTTCGTCTCCTCGCAGCCCAGCGACCCCGTGCAGCTGGTGGTAGCAGGTGAGCGGCCCAGCTCCACGTTCTCGCTCCCAGCCAGACCCTCATGGGGGCTCTGCACTGATGGGCCACTCAGAGCCAGGCTCTGCCCTGGGCCCAGCAGAGGGGATGCCCGGCCAGGGAGCAGGACGGAGTCACTAGGGTGTTCCACAGCCAGGGAGGAAAAGCAGCTGCTGGAGATTTGGTGCTGAGGGGGGATCCCAGCCCCCAGATGGCTGTCCCTGCTCTGGGGATGCACAGAGGGGTCCGGACCCAGTGGCCCCCTAAGGCACCGGCCCCAGCAACACAAACACCCTGTCCCCCCGGGAATAACTGAAGCTGAGTTTCGGGGGAGGGGCAATCGCTGAGTTGGTGTTTCAGCCCCTCCCCCGGCCTCAACAGACACTGGTTCTATTCCCGAAGGTGGAACCGACCCGACCCAGCCTGGAGCGGCGCCGGCTCCCACGCACCCGGGCAGCGACTCCTGGTGCATGAGCCCAGACACCAGGGGGAGGGGCAGCCCCTGCCCCTCCCTCACCACCAGATCCCCGCCTCCTCCGGCACCTCCTGCCCTGTAGGTTACTGCCTGGAAGCTACTGGGGGATCCCAGGAGAGGGACAGGATCTAGGGGTCCTGGCTCTGGGGTTGGGACCAGCTGGGTGCCCAGGCGGGTCCTGGGGTTAGGGTTGCTGGGTGTCTGGCTTTTGATCCGAACACCTGGTTGCAAAGGGACCCTAGTGTACCCCAACCCCCTGCCCCAGCCCGGTGAAAATGAGCAAGTGAGTGAGGGTGGGGAAGAGCGAGCAATGGAGGGAGGGGGATAGAGTGGGTGGGGGGTGGGGCCTCAGGGCAGGAGCCGTTCGTCCACCTGGGCAACCGCCTTGTTGGGGAAGCTGAGGCCCCAGAGCCAGACCTGCTGGACGGGGGGTCGTGGGCTTCACTCCCGGGGCAGTGCCAGCTGCTGATCTCCCCGTCTGAGCCGGCAAGTGACTCTTCCCTTCCCCCCGCAGCAGCCCCCCAAGGGCACCCGGATTTCACCTACGCCAACATCGCCCGTCTGGGGCTGGGCACCGTGGTCCTGCTTGTCCTGGGACTGATCCTGGCTGAGGCCTATTCCAGCCGCCCGAGGGGGGCGCCCTAGGTGAGGTGACCCCTTTGTCACTCACGTCTGGATCCTTTTCCAGTTTCTCCACATCCTTTCTACACAGCGGTGACAGAACTGGACACAGCACTCCCAGCCTGTCCAGCGCCGAGCAGAGCGGTACTCTCAGCGCCCGTGACTTGCACGCTGCACCTCTGTTAATGCAGCCGAACATTGCATTTGCTTTTGTTTTGCAACGGCATCACGTTGCTGACTCACGTTGAGGGTGTGATGATCCACGACAACTCCCCGCTCCGTCTCAGGAGTGCTGCTGCCAAGCCAGTGAGCCCCCATCCTGTGCTTGTGCATTTGGTTTTTCTTCCCAAAGTGCAGCACCTCTATTGACTTTCAAACAGCTTGTAAAAGAGATGACTAAGGGGGGATACGACAGAGGTCTATAAAATCATGACTGGTGTGGAGAAACTAAATCAGGAAGTGTTGTTTACTCCTTCTCATAACACAAGAACTAGGGATCACCCAATGAAATGAATAGGCTGCAGGTTTCAAACAAACAACAGGAAGTATTTCTTCACCCAACACACAGTTAACCTGTGGAACTCCTTGCCAGAGGATGTTGTGAAAGCCAAGATTATAACAGCGTTCAAAAAAAGAACTAGATAAGTTCATGGAGGATACGTCCATCAATAGCTATTAGCCAGGATGGGCAGGGATGGTGTCCATAGCCTTCGTTTGCCAGAAGCTGGGAATGGGGGACAGGGGATGGATCACATGATGATTCCCTGGTCTGTTCATTCCCTCTGGGGCACCTGGCGTTGGCCACTGTTGGGAGATGGGTGTCACGGACTCACAGATGGTGCCCACTCTTGGCCCCGTGCGGTCCGTGGGGGGTACCCCTTTCAGGGCAATAGCCCTTCTCGGGGATCCACTCTCTCTCGGGGTCAGGCCCCTCCACCTCCTGGATCCGCACCTCTCTGAGCCTTAGCACGTCTGTCTCTGCCGTGGGCCTGCTCAGGGAGTCCACTCGCTCTGGACCCCCAGGCCCTCCACCCCTGAAGGGGTTGATGCAACCCTGTTCTCTAGACCGGAGTGACTCTCAGCCAGCATAAAACAGGAGGATTTATTGAGAGTTGAACACAGCACAGGAAACTCTCAGGGCCTCAGGCCTGGCCTCCCTCAGCCCAGCACACCCCAGTCTCTCTGCATCCAGGTGGGCTCTGCCTGTTCCCCCTCTCCAGCCCAGAGCCCCTCTGCTTCCCAGCTAGGCATCTGAGCTCCCCGGCCCCAAGCCCGGCCTCTGTCCTTTGTCTTCTCTCCAGGTAAACAGGGTTGTAAACCGGGGCCTCCTCTCCTGCTTCTGTCCTCTGGCTGGAACCGGCTGGTTAGGTCACTGGGTCCTCACTCTGCAGCCCATTGATACTCACCCACGATGGGACCAGCTGCAAAGTACCAGGGCTCCACCCTCCTTCCCATCACCTGAGCACGGGGGAGCGTCTCTTGCTGCCCTGGGTTGGGGGCAGCCAGCAGGGAGCAGGACACACACACACACATGAGCAGGGGGCAGGACACACAGAGACACCAGCAGGGGGAAGGGCTGGATGGACACATGCGTGTGGGCTCCCGGGGGAGGCACCAGCTGTTCCCCCAGACCCCTAGGGGGTCAGGCCCCCTCTAGGACTCCCCCCGCCCACATCATTGCCCAGCATGGGGACCGGCTTCAGCTGGGGCTGCCCTGGGGGAGGGGAATGGGGAGGGAATCCCCCGAAACTCCCCCTCCAGCAGTGACCCAGATTCACACAAGGCCCCATTGTGCAGGGCTGGCAGTGGGACCCACGTGGGCCCTTTGGGGCGGGGCCATGGGAACGGGACACAGACCGAGCCCTGGAAAGACCCCGGCCGGAGGGTGAGGGGTGGGGCGCAGCCGCTGTTTGCTGGGAGGACGACGGGATGGATCACTTGAGGATTCGCTCTGGGGCGCCTGGAATTGGCCACTGTCGGAAGACAGGATACTGGGCTAGATGGACCTTTGGTCTGACCCAGGCTGGCCATTCTTATGTGTTAGGTGTGGTCAGAACTACAGTATCAAAGAGGGCAGACCCAAGGGAAACCCCAGCAGGAACCATCCCGCTACCGATGCTTGTCTATTGAGAGGTCCCTTGGAGCCGAGAACACCGGTGGGGATGTGAAGATGGCCACGGCTGTAATTGTCGCACAGGTTTTTGTAGGATTTCTCTCTGCAGGAGTAATTGGAACTTTGCTTAACACTGGGGCCAGCACTGACGGCCAGGGGAGAGCGCCCCCTAGTGACCTCTGCCCCACTCCCTGCAGCACAGCGCCCCCTAGCAGTGCACTGGGGTATCAGGGCCAGCGCTGACTGTCTGGGGAGAGCGCCCCTCTACTGAGCCCCTCCTCCTGCTCCCTGCAGCATAGCACCCCCTAGTGTAGCAGTGGGGTAGTGGGGCCTGATGGGTTAGAACTGGTGGGCTGGATGCCAGGACTCCTGGGTTCTCTCCCTGGCTCTGGGAGGGGACTAGGGTCTAGTGGTTACAGCGAATGGGAGGCTGGGAGCCAGGACTCCTGGGTTCTGTTTTGAAGGCTGGACACCCCACCCCTTTTTCTCTCAGCAGCTAGTTCCCAGCCTCCCAGCCCACCTTTGGACTCAGTCGCTTGCCAATCCTGGCTGGGATCAGGGAGGGGCAGCGTGGGTGGGTGTGACCCAGCAATCTGGGCACAAGCAGTGCATGGGGTGGGAGTGCCAGGGGGCTGGACAGGGAGCTGTTGGGGGGAGGGAGGGCCGGGGGCACACCGTGCCTGAACTGGACAGGAAAGGACAGGCTGGCACTAGAGGATGAATAAGGAGTGGGGGCCCTGCCTGTCACAGACTCACAGGTGGTGCCCACTCTTGGCCCTGTACAGTCCCTGCGGGGAACTCCCTTCAGTGAGACAGCCCTTCTCAGGGGGTCACTCTATCTCGGGGTCAGGCTCCTCCACCTCGTGGAGATGCACCTCTCTGAGCCTTAGCATGCCTGTCTCTCGCTGTGGCCCACTCAGAGAGTCCAGTTGCTCTGGACCCCTGGGGCCTCCACTCCCAGAGGGAATCATGCAACCCTGTTCTCCAGACCGGAGTGGCTCTCAGCCAGCATAAAACAGGAGGGTTTATTGAGAGTTGAACACAGCACAGGAAACTCTCAGGGCCTCAGGCCTGGCCTCCCTCAGCCCAGCACATCTCAGTCTCCCCTGCATCCAGGTGGGCTCTGGCTGCTCCCCCTCTCCAGCCCCGACCCCGCTGCTTCCCAGCTGGGCATCTGATATCACCAGCCCCAAGCCCCGCCTCTGTTCATTGTGCTCTATCCAGGTACACCAGGTCACCTGGGCCTCCTCTCCTGCTTCTGTCCTCTGGCCCCTCTGGCTGGAACCGGCTGGTCAGGTCACTGGCGTCCTCTCTTCACAGCCCATTGTCCTCCCCCTGGCCAGAACTTGTTGTGACTCCTGGCCTGGGCACCAGGTCCCCAGTCGCTGGGGTATCCTAGGGTTACCATACGTCCGGATTTTCCGGGACATGTCCGGCTTTTTGGGCTTCAAATCCCTGTCTGGGAGGAAATCCCAAAAAGCCGGACACGTCCAGGAAAATAGGGAGGGAGGAGTTGTGCGGCTTGGGTCCACGTCGGAGCCGCTGGGGCCAGCGGTGCTTGGTCAGGGGCCAGGGCCGCTGGGGCCGGCGGTGCTCGGATGGGGTCCGGGACACCTGGGGCCGCTGGGGCCGGCGGTGCACGGCCGGGGGCCGGAGCCGCTGGGGCCGGTGGTGCTCGGCAGGGGCCGCTGGGGCCACTGGGGCCAGGGCGGGCCGGAACCAGGGCCAGCACCGCAGGGCCCGAGCCGGGCTGGAGATGCCGGGGCCAGAGCCTCTTGGCCTGGGCCGGCCGGCCGCCAGAGGGAGCCACTCGACTGGGCCGCACCGCGCCCTGCCCCAGCCCCAGCTTACCTGCTGCCCCCCTGTTTCAGGCTTCCCGTGAACATTTGATTCGCGGGAAGCAGGGGAGGGGGAGGAGCAGGGGGGCAGAGCTTTCAGGGGAGGGGGCAGAGTTGGGGCGGGGAATTTGGGGAAGGGGAAGGGGTGGATTTGGGGCAGGGCTGGGGCCCCATGGATTGTCCTCCTTTTTTTAAATTAAAATATGGTAACCCTAGCTTATCCATTCTCCAGGCCATTTGCTGGGGTCCCAAGTTCCATCGCTGCTTGCTTTGGCTGCTCTAGATTTCGCCTGCAGATTAGAGACAATGTGTGATGGACGCAGGAAGAGATGAGACATCGTCGACTTCCTGTAGCTGGAGCCACCAGCTGAGTTCCTTATTTGGGGCTCGGTGGAGCTGGGCACTGGGGTGTTGGTGGCAGCCCTGAGGGTCCCCTCACTGTCCCCATCATGGCATCTGCTCTCACCATCCTCCTCCTCGGTGAGTATCGGATAAAGGCAGGGCATGTGTCCCTTGGGGGGGATGGGATCTGAGACCCGGGTGTGTATCCATGGGGGGGCAGGATCTGAGGCTCGAGCGTGCACCCATGGGGGGATCTGAGACCAGGGTGTAGGATCCAGTTACTTTGGGATCTAGTCACTAATGAGCCATCTCCTTTCCAGGTTGCTGGCTGGCCGGGCACAGCGGGGTGTGGGGAGGTGAGTATCAGTCTGTGGGGAGGACGTAACATCAAGGATCGGGGGAGGGGATGCATGGGGTGGGGAAAAGAGGAACTGAGCCATGAACCTTCCCCAAAACTCAACCCAAACTCCCCCTGTGAGATCAGACCCATCCCCGTTCTTCTGTCACTCCCCCACCTTCCACCAGTGAGTAACTAGGAGCCGAATCTGGTTCCCAGGGTCTGACGAAGCAGGAACCGTTCCTTGGTTCAAAGACCTGCCCTCCCCTCCACCCTCCCAGGCTGTGAGGATTGGGGGTGGGGGGTCATCACATGGATTTATTTCAGCTCATACAAACGCTAACAGGGCCCGTCCGTGGGCTTTAGATCCCCTCGTTCCCAGTCAGTGCAGCCGTGGGGAGAACCCCCCAGATCCTCCCCCACTCCCAGATCCACCCCCAACAGCTCCCTCCCCTGCACTCACAGCCCCCTGTTCCCAAGGCCTGGGGAAAAGTTGGGTCTTGTGCGACTCCCACAGTCACAGACTATTTCCAACCCCGGGGCGGGGGGCAGAGCTGCAGGGGGCCAATGATCAGGGTCTCTGGCTGGCCTCCGGTGGGGCCGGAGGGGGCAGGTGATCTTTAATACAGCCCGGGTCCTCAGCTACGTCTGGGTAAATCCCTGGCCCCCAAACCCCGTGGGCAGCCAGTGATAACCCTGGTAGGGGACAGACTTCTAGAGAGGCCGAATGACGGATGGACTGAATTGTGGCGGGAGGAGGCGGGGGGCTGTGTCTCCCCTGTTTAACTCCTGTCTCTTGTTGAAAGCAGGGCGTGAATTTGTCAAACCCACCATCTGGGTGAGCCCCAGCAGGGTGGTGGCGCTCGGGGAAAGCGTCACCATCCGCTGTGAGGGTCGGTACCCGGGCATGGAGTTCTTTCTGCGTAAAGCTGGACACCCGAACCCACAGGTGCAGACGGTGCCTGATGGGACCGTGGCTGAATTTCCCATCGCCAGTGTCAGCCGGGAAGATGGAGGGAGCTACACCTGCGACTATCGCTCCATAACGGATCAGAGTCGCTCGTCGTATCTCAGCGACCCCGTCGAGATCATTGTAGCAGGTGAGGGGCCCGGCTCAGTGGCCCGGCTCCCAGGCCCACACCCAGCTGGACACTCAGGGGGTCTCTGCATTGATGGGACGCTCAGAGATAGGCTCTGCCATTAGCCCTGGGCCGAGCAGAGGGGACGTCCTGCCAGGGAAAGGGACAGAGTCACCTCGGGTTCCCGGCCAGGGGGGAGAAGCAGCCACTGGAGATTTGTGGCAGAGGAAGGGGGGATCCCTGCCCCCAGAGGGAGCTGCAGAGCAGGGGGGCCTTTCCCAGACAACACAATAGTTAAGGGGTGATGGGCAGAGCTGAAGGTTATAAACCTCAGTGTATAGTAGAGATTTGCACAGTCCCCTACAAGTCAGCGGTGGTGCTGCGCAGAGAACCCAGGAGTCCTGGCCCCATCCTCCCTGCTCTCCCCACTAGACCTCACTCCCCTCCTTGAGCCGGGGAAAGAACCGAAGAATCCTGGCTCCCAGCCCTCCCAGCAGAGAACTCAGGCAGTGAATGAACCCTGGAGACTGGACTGGCCTGTCACCCGCTAGGGAGCAGAGCTCTGGGCCCCAGGGGCTGGGGTTGCTCTGTGACTCATGCTGTTAGCCCAGGGCTCAGAGGAAACTCTGGCCCCTGTGGAAAGGTGAACAGGAGCCCATCCCCAGGGTCTGACCCACCACTGAGGCCGCGTGGTGAGGACGGGCCCCAGGACTGAGTGACGGGGCCTGCGTCTCACGGCCTGTCTGCTTCCCACTGCAGAGCCCAGCTACCCCAAACCCAGCATCTCCCTCAGCCCCAGCGGGGGAGTCTCCCTGGGGGGAGCCGTGACCGTCCGGTGTCGGGGGCAGCACCGGGGCGTGCGCTTCATGCTGAATAAAGAGCGACACCATTTCCCACCTGTGGATTCGGACGGGTTTGAGGCTGTGTTTCCCATCAGCAACGTGCGCCGGGAGCACAGCGGGAGCTACAGCTGCTCCTATCACAGCAGATCGGAGCCGTTCGCCGTGTCGTACCCCAGCGACCCCGTGGAGCTGGTGGTGAGAGGTGAGGGGCCCGGCTCGGCATCCCCATTCCCAGCCCCACCCCCTGCCAGACCCTCACGGGGGCTCGGTGCCAATGGGACGCTCAGACCCAGGCTCTGCCCTGAGCCCTGACCCAGCAGAGGGGACGCCCGGCTGGGGAGCGGGGACGGAGTCACTGGGGGGTTCCCCAGCCAGGGGGGAGCAGCAGCCCCTGGAGACTTGGGGCAGGGAGGCGACTTTAACACTGCCCCTTGTGTGTAGGAACCGTGAGTCGCTATTTAATCCCATGATCCCATCCCCTCTGTTCTCCAGGCCCTGCCCCAGGCAGTGCCCTGGTTGGGGCTGAATGATGCAGGGGTTGCAGGAGAAGCGGTGTCTTGGTGGACACGGCGCTGGGCTGGGACCCAGGAGATCTGGCCCAGCTCCTGGCGCAGCCACAGACAGTGTGTGATGGGAGCATGTCGCAGTTTTCAAACGTGTCCTTCATAGTGGGGGGGCCTCAATCTTGGGGGATCTCAGGCCGAGCGCCCACAAACCGAGACGCCCACAGTTAGTGGAGACCTCTGCAAACGCTGGCCTCAATAGTGCTGAATCCCTTGTGTTGGGGGAGCATGAAGGGCCCGCGCCATGATCAGGGTCCAGCTGTGCCAGGTGCTGCATAAATACAGAGCGAAGAGACAGTCCCGGCCCCTGGAAGCTCACTAAGGAAAGTGAATCTGTCTGTGGCCTGTAGAATGGGGATAAAGACCCCTCCCTGCCTCCCTGGGGGCTGACTCCCTTCCTGTGTGGGGCTCAGGCCCTGCCGTGCCAGGCGCCAAAGTCCAGCCCGTGAGTCAGGCCGGACACAGTGAATGAGACAGAGGCCACACACGGCATATGAAGAACCCAAGAACTTGGCAGTCGCGGCTCCGTGTCTGTGGGTTTGGGAGCCCAGCTCGCAGGGCCGGGATTCTGGCTCAGGAAAACTCTTGGATCTGGAAGAGAATTTCTGTCAGGGGGCCCGTGGATCTGCCCGTGCCTCGGGCCAGCTGGGGAATCACAGAAGATTAGGGTTGGAAGAGAGCTCAGGAGGTATCTACTCAACCCCCCTGCTCAAAGCAGGACCAACCCCAACTAAATCATCCCAGCCAGGGCTTTATCAAGCCGGGCCTTAAAAACCTCTAAGGATGGAGATTCCACCATCTCCCTAAGTAACCCATTCCAGTGCTTCACCACCCTCCTAGTGAAATAGTGTTTCCTAATATGCAACCTAGACCTCCCCTAGTGCAACTTGAGACCACTGCTCCCTGTTCTGTCATCTGCCGCCACTGAGAACAGCCGAGCTCCATCCTCTTTGAACCCCCGTTCAGGTAGTTGAAGGCTGCTATCAAATCCCCCCTCACTCTTCTCTTCTGCAGCTGGAGGACGGGGCTGGGTGGGTGGCCGGGGCTGGTTCTCACAGCCTGTCTCCTGTGCGCAGATCCCAGCTTACCCAGACCCTCCATATCTCTGAGCCCCACTGGGGTCACCGCCCCAGGGGCAGACGTCACCATCCGGTGTCAGGGGCAGCGCCGGGACGTGAGGTTCTTCCTGCACAAGGCTGCAGACCTGAACCCGCAGCGACACATGGACCCTGCTGGGGACGGGGCCGAGTTCCGCATCCCCACCGTGGGCCGGCACGGAGGGAACTACAGCTGCAGCTACCGGCTCCAATCACAGCCCTTCATCTCCTCGCAGCCCAGCAACCCCGTGGAGCTGGTGGTAGGAGGTGAGGGGCCCGGCTCCACGTCCCCGCTCCCAGCCGGACCCTCAAAACTTCGGCACCCTAATGGGATGCTCAGAGCCAGGCTCTGCCCAGAGCCCTAGGACTGGCCTGGACAGGGAGCGGGGACAGTGTCACTAGGGGGTTCCCCAGCCAGGGGGCAGCAGCAGCTCCTGGAGGTTCAGTTGCGAGGGAGGGGGATTCCTGCCTCAAGGGGGAGCTGCAGAGCAGGGGGCTTTGCCAGGGGATGCTCCCCCAGCTGCCCCTGCACTGGGGGCACTCAAAGGAGTCAGGGCCCAGGGGCTGCCCATCCCGTCACTCTCCTGTTCTGCCTCCTCAGCCTGCGTCCCCTCCCATGGCCCCACCCCTTTCTGCCCCTTCTCTGGGGCCCCGCCCCTGTTCCACCCACATATCTGCCCCATTCCATCCCCCCATTGCAGCCCCGCAACCCATTTTCTACTTTCTGCCTCGTAGCCCCCACTGCGTCCGCCAGACCGGAGAAGCTCTGTCCCCCCGCCCTGGCCCCGGGGTGCAGTGGGGAGTGAGAGTCCCCCAGCCCTGAGGCCACAGCAGGTAGCGAGAGTGCTCCCGTCCTGGGGCTGCCGCGGAGGTCCTGATGCTAAGGCTTCCCCTGTCCCCACTATGGTACTTCTGTGAGGACCAGAGTCGGGGTTCTGGGCCTTCTCCTGTCCTGCTCACCCGGTGGTCAGGGCTCCAGGGTAACTGAAACATTCCCGGTCAGTGCAGCCATGCGGAGAACCCCCCTGTGACGAACTGGGACTGTTCTTGCTGGGGTGTGTGAATGCTGACAGGGGAGTGTGACTAGGATGGTCTGCATCGGGGGATGG